ACGCAACACACAAAACACAATGTGGCCGTGGGTGACCCACCACACCACTAATTAGTGGTCTAAAGATTTTTGATTTCCCATTTCCCACTTTTCTGCGATTTGTTTGGCTCCTTCTGTTTCTTTCCTTCACATTCAATGTTTTTGCAAGGACAATTGAACCCACCCACCCAATTTCCCCAAATAAATTCATTTCATCTACTTCTTCATCATCATCTCTTCCTTCCTTCATTCTCTTGATTCCATCATCATCTTCATCTTCTTCTTCTTCTTCATCTCTTCCTTCCTTCATTCTCTCTCTCTCTCTCTCTATATATATATATATATAATTTAATTTAATTTCAATGGAGAAGGTAGCTAATACTAGTGATTCAGATAATAATGGTTTGACGCTTGAATCTGTGAGACAGAGTCTGATACGCCAAGAAGACACCATCATTTTTTCCCTGATAGAGAGGGCTAAATACCCTTTCAATTCTCCTCTGTACGATCATGATTCTCTTGTTTCGCCTTCTATGGTCGAGTCCATTGTTAAGGACTCTGAAGCTCTTCAAGCCAAGGTCTGTTCTTTTTTCTTTTCTTTTATTTTTATTTGAATTATTCTTGCATTTTTTTTTTTAAGGTTGATTACAATTTAAGAGTTCGCAGCTCCCCATTGGGAGAAACCCAATGTCTTATTCCTGCAATTTACTAGCCCTTTTATGTTTTGTGTTTTCCCATACAAATAAATGAATTTAGTTTTGTCCTTTTCATTTTTATTGTGTTTGTTGCCAGGTTATAAAATTTATATTTTATTTGAAGGAGACTGTAGATTGGGCCAGGCCAGACCCTTTTGGTTTTTTTTTTTTTTGTTTTAATTTATTGACTTTGGTTATAAAAATTCTTAAATTTATACTTCAAAATTGTATGGAAAAAAAGGTTCAACCCTACTGGAATGAGCAAATGAGTACAGTTGAGGTCAACACTGGTGAACTTTTCCAATGACCTTCAACCATAAACATGCGAGTCCTTGATGCTCAAGTCAGCAGGTGAAACTCTTAGTATAGTGTAATTACTAGCTTTAAACGAGTACAGTTGCGCCGTTTTTGCTGCCCATTGACTCCCTTTGGATTCATTATGGCGCGACAATTCTTGTCACGACCTTATTCCACCACAAAACATAGAGTAGTGACTGGCCAGTAATCGTAGACTACTAAGTCCTAACTAAAATCAATTGGTAGTACTGTTGTAGTTTACTTTGATTAGGTACCGGGAACATTTAATTCTCCTTAACCTGATTATCCCACAAGCATCCATTCAGAGTAAGTGTTTAAGTAAATTACAAGTTTACAACCATCCCAGGCTTTAGTTATCGAAGGAGTACAAAAATTTATATGAAAGAGAACAAGCTGTTCGTTTCAAACCAAGTCTTTCTACCAACAATTAGGCATATAGGTCACCACATATGCATATGTGCATAGCTTGAAATCCTTGGCTATCGAACCTCACCATCATTACCTACATATAGGGATGAAGGGTGAGCCAAACCTTAATGAATAGTGATATATCAAAATTGTTTGAAAACAAACATGGATATCTCCATTTTGCTTATCATAGCTAAACAAAAAGCTTAAAGAAACTTAATTCGTATTGGAATCAAACTAATACATATGCATTTTCGTTTCCAATATGATGATAATATCCATCTCCGGCTACGTGAAAACCACCATACATGGTAAGAGTTCTTCACAACAAAACTATTAGTACATTTTACATCCCCTAATAGTATCTGAGACCAAAACCATAGATGGCATCTTTATGCATTGAGCGTAACAAACTTATGATATCCTTGAATGAAAACATTTCATAGTCAAGGAACGTATCATGAGTTTGAATTCCTAAAATTTTTTTACAAAAAATAAACTAAGATATAGCACCACTCATGTCTTCCTCTTGAGGGTAGATTAGTTCCACAAGATAAATCAACATACATAGCCTTGAAAATACAATACATTGTTGATTCTTGCTCTAAATTTAGTGAGTGGCTTTTCATTTTTATCATAAACGTTTCCAAGAGAGGAAAGAGTCAACTATTAAAAGAACTAAAAAACCAAAAAAATTGCTAAAAAACAATTCCAATTAAGCTAACTTACACTTTTAAAAAAATTTAAATTAGGGTAAATTACATTGACTTGAGGTTTCTGACAGTTACAATCTCCCCTTAAAATGGAAATATTGCACCATGCTCTGTTAATGTTTACAATTGCATTACGTTTACATCCATGCCATTAAGAAAGCGTTAGTCTTTTTTTGGGTTAACCGTGAGGTCAACAAAAAATGCATTGAATATTACCCTTAATTGACCAAAATTGAATATACAAAGTAGTATTGTAATAATTTATGTATTTATTGATTGATTGATAGATACATGATGATTGATTAATTACAATTCCTATACAATCTATATATAGAAGAAAATGAGGTAGTAGGTGTAGTGGAGGTGATAGTGGGTTAGGTGAAGTGGAGTGTGTGGTGAAGTGGAGGTAGGTGAAGTGGAGTGTGTAGTGGAGTAGGTGAAGGTAAAGATGGGAAATTCTAACAGCCCCCCGCAAACTTTCCAATTAAGCTAACTTACACTTTTAAAAAAATTTAAATTAGGGTAAATTACATTGACTTGAGGTTTCTGACAGTTACAATCTCCCCTTAAAATGGAAATATTGCACCATGCTCTGTTAATGTTTACAATTGCATTACGTTTACATCCATGCCATTAAGAAAGCGTTAGTCTTTTTTTGGGTTAACCATGAGGTCAACAAAAAATGCATTGAATATTACCCTTAATTGACCAAAATTGAATATACAAAGTAGTATGTATAAATATAACAACATTGTCTTTGACTAAAATGCCCATAAATGACATTTCATATGCATTTCACAGTTCCTCTTTGATTCCTACTCCCTTTCTACATAGTCAAACCAACCCATCCCAATCGCCACCATGGCACCTCTACTCCATTCTCTATCGGCATAACGATGGTGATTGTGAAGGTTGAGGTCTATGAAACACGGGTACAAGTATGATTACTGGTACTGATATAATACGGTAAAATCCAAAAAAAGTAGAGTACGAGTACGAGTACGGCTTGGGCTTGGTACATTTGTAAAAAAAATATTTATTTTTAATATAGAGTAATGCAAAAATTGATTAAATGGTTTAATTTGTTAAAATCCAACCTACAATTAATATTTAATGCCAAAAGTAAAGATATAAATCAAAATTAAATGTCAATATATTAAACAACTTCCAAACCATAACTTAATTTTAAAATCATGCTAAGTATAAATTAAAAAATAAAAAAGAAGTCTAGTGAAAGGAATTTTATCTCTGTAGTAGAAGAAAATATTGTTTCAATAGGTATGCCAAAAATTAAGAAGAAAAAATTTAGGTCTGTGTTATGTGTACCCAGTATGTATGTAGAAATACCATACGAAATATCATACGCCGATAAGTACCCAGTAAGGGTATGACATGTTTTTTGAAGTACCCATGCTTCATAGGTTGAGGTGCCTCCTCACATTATCAGCTTCAGGCTTTACCCAAAAAGAGAGAGAAGCTCCACCACCACCGTTACCACATGAACAGTCCACCTATCTCAATCCACCAAAATCTCCACGTCCACTACACCACCTGAACCTATCACCTCCACCAAATCAAAGCAATTTTTAATAAATTAGAGCTTCAATTTCTCAATTTGATTTGATCAAAAGCTTCTCAATAGTAAAGAAGTAGAGAAAGACACCCAATCATCCACCATTGTTGTCCAACACCGACACCGCCAACACTACCGTTGTTATCCAACATAACGATTTGGAATTTACCAAAGATGGGCTCTAGAGTGGGAGGTGACAATGGGGTGTCAAGTTGGTGCTAGTGACAGGGATGAGTGAAAGGTATGGTGATCGTCGGTGAAGGCTTCAATAAAGGTGTAGAGATTTATCCCCCCAAAAAAATGGTAAATTCATTAGTTATGAAGAAAGGTACTTTTTTCATTTAACATTAAAGTTAGATTTGACTATTAATTTCTATATAGAAATTTAAGGGTTAAAAACTAATTTCATCTCTTTTGTTGTCATACTCTGGGGTTTGTTGTAATTTTCAGCTATATTGGTCTTATATATAAGATCTATATATATATATATATGTATATATATATTTTGGTAAATTGTATATAAGATAAATATAAATGTCTATACATATGAAACCAACTAAAAAATGACCTAAAAGAGCTTAGAGCCACATTTATCGCATCTTTCTTGTTAAGAAAATGGAATATGTTGACAATTTTCATCTAGTACTCCTAACTCTTCACTTTTTTGCTGAGTCATTTTCAACATTTCATTGGTGGTAGTTATGGGTTTTTTTAATATTAGTTGTTGAGTCATTTTCAATATCTGGTTGGTGGTAGTTGTGGCTTCTCTCTATCTTTTTTTTTTTTTTTTTGGTATCTTATATATCTTTGTCTAAATGATTAGGTATCATCTCAGTATAGCATCATTACCTTGACCAAGAGAAACAGAAATTATCAAGATACAAGACATATCTCACTATAGCTGCAAAGCATAGCATGTGAAGTTTTGTGCTTAGAGCGTAGTACTATAAAATAAAATAGAAAAACTATTTATTATTTATTGCATTATTAAATGACAGTTTATTTGGATTAGTTGGAACTACTCTTTTTTTGGGTGGGGATAAGCTGTAGCTATTTGGTTTAGAATGAACATGGGCAAGATTGCACACAGTGAGTTTGAAGCTAGTTTCTCTAATTTGTTAGGCTCACCCAATGATGGGGAAAAAATGGTATAGACATGGCTGCAGTCTCACTGTGAAAATTTATCAAGGAGTGAACTTCTTTGTAATTTCAATTTTATCGAATGCCATTGAGTGAAGTTAGCTATGAACTTGAAATTAATTTGGAAACATGAAAATACTTATTACTATAATTGAACAAAAAATTTGTGGGGTTATTTTGACAGTGGGTATTTTGCATGTTCTTGATGTTTACATTAAATATGAACAAGTACATTGCATATTTTTAACTTTTAGAAGAACGAAAGAAATACTCCTCTTATTGTAAAACCCAATTATTTCTCTTATTAGTGAAGAAACCTTCAACGTCAAACAACCTTGACAACATACTTCTATTTTTTATTACTGTTAAAATCCACCTACTCTCCACCTATTTCACCCACTTAAACCTACTCCACTAAACCTAACCCACTACACCACTACCATCTCACCTACTCCACTAAACCTAACCCACTACACCACTACCACCTCCACTTCACCTACTCCTTACCTACTACACACTCACCCTCTTCTATATATAGGAATCATGAATCATTGTAATAGAAATAAATATATATCAATCAATAATACAATTATCTCTATTTCTCTATACATAATTAATTCTCTCTATTTCTCTTTATACATTAAATTTCTACATGGTATCAGAGCAGGTTTAGAACCTAATATTTTCGCTTCACCGGCGGACGGCAACCTTACCTTAGCTGTCCGCCGGACCTCAACCAATTCCGCTAAAATTTTCTACACATACCTTCACTCCGCTGCCACAAATTTCACATCTACTCTCTCTCTCAATTTCTTTTACACTCTCCTGGAGTTGAAGCCGAACCGGGGGCCTCCTTCATTGGTACAGATAGATCAGATACGATCTTCGCTTCACCTCTCAAGATCTGTTACGATGTACACTTCAAGGAAGAAGATACACAACGGTCCGACATGACCCCGTAAACTGTCTTCTACAACGGTCCGACATGCCCCCGTAAACTGTCCTGCTACAACGATCCGACATGACCCCATAAACTGTCCTGCTACAACGGTCCAGTGTCTTCACCAATGGTCTGACACGACCATACAGTGTCTCCTATCCTCTTTTCTTTTATGTATTCGTCTATTTTCTTGTTTTGTTACTCTCTCCAAACTCAAGTTGGCTAGTTCCTATCCCCCTTGAGTTTGCGGGGGGCTGTTAAAACCTATCACCTACTTCACCCACTTAAACCTATTCCACTAAACCTAACCCACTACACCACTACCACCTCCACTTCACCTACTCCTTACCTACTACACACTCACCCTCTTCTATATATAGGAATCATGAATCATTGTAATAGAAATAAATATATATCAATCAATAATACAATTCTCTCTATTTCTCTATACATAATTAATTCCCTTTATTTCTCTTTATACATTAAATTTCTACAATTACTAAAAGGGTTACACATTCTTTATGGTACGCACTTTATTAAGAATATACAACATACTTCTATTTTATTTTATGGTACCTAACTTTTAAATGATTAGGTATCATCTCAGTATAGCATCATTACCTTGACCAAGAGAAAGAGAAATTATCAAGATACAAGACATATCTCACTATAGCTGCAAAGCATAGCATGTGAAGTTTTGTGCTTAGAGTGTGGTACTATAAAATAAAATAGAAAAACTATTTATTATTTATTGCATTATTAAATGACATTTTATTTGGATTAGTTGGAACTACTCTTTTTTTGGGGTGGGGATAAGCTGTAGCTATTTGGTTTAGAATGAACATGGGCAAGATTGCACACAGTGAGTTTGAAGCTAGTTTCTCTAATTTGTTAGGCTTTCCCAATGATGGGGAAAAAATGGTATCGGACATGGCTGCAGTCTCACTCTGAAAATTTATCAAGGAGTGAACTTCTTTGTAATTTCAATTTTATCGAATGCCATTGGGTGAAGTTAGCTATGAACTTGAAATTAATTTGGAAACATGAAAATACTTATTACTATAGTTGGAACTACTCTTTTTTTGGGGTGGGGATAAGCTGTAGCTATTTGGTTTAGAATGAACATGGGCAAGTTTGCACACAGTGAGTTTGAAGCTAGTTTCTCTAATTTGTTAGGCTCACCCAATGATGGGAAAAAAATGGTATCGGACATGGCTGCAGTCTCACTGTGAAAATTTATCAAGGAGTGAACTTCTTTGTAATTTCAATTTTATCGAATGCCATTGAGTGAAGTTAGCTATGAACTTGAAATTAATTTGGAAACATGAAAATACTTATTACTATAATTGAACAAAAAATTTGTGGGGTTATTTTGACAGTGGGTATTTTGCATGTTCTTGATGTTTACATTAAATATGAACGAGTACATTGCATATTTTTAACTTTTAGAAGAACGAAAGAAATACTCCTCTTATTGTAAAACCCAATTATTTCTCTTATTAGTGAAGAAACCTTCAACGTCAAACAACCTTGACAACATACTTCTATTTTTTATTACTAAAAGGGTTACACATTCTTTATGGTACGCACTTTATTAAGAATATACAACCTACTTCTATTTTATTTTATGGTACCTAACTTTTAAATGATTAGGTATCATCTTAGTATAGCATTATTACCTTGACCAAGAGAAAGAGAAATTATCAAGATACAAGACATATCTCACTATAGCTGCAAAGCATAGCATGTGAAGTTTTGTGCTTAGAGCGTAGTACTATAAAATAAAATAGAAAAACTATATATTATTTATTGCATTATTAAATGACATTTTATTTGGATTAGTTGGAACTACTCTTTTTTTGGGGTGGGGATAAGCTGTAGCTATTTGGTTTAGAATGAACATGGGCAAGATTGCACACAGTGAGTTTGAAGCTAGTTTCTCTAATTTGTTAGGCTCACCCAATGATGGGAAAAAAATGGTATCGGACATGGCTGCAGTCTCACTGTGAAAATTTATCAAGGAGTGAACTTCTTTGTAATTTCAATCTTATCGAATGCCATTGAGTGAAGTTAGCTATGAACTTGAAATTAATTTGGAAACATGAAAATACTTATTACTATAATTGAACAAAAAATTTGTGGGGTTATTTTGACAGCGGGTATTTTGCATGTTCTTGATGTTTACATTAAATATGCACAAGTACATTGCATATTTTTAACTTTTAGAAGAACGAAAGAAATACTCCTCTTATTGTAAAGCCCAATTATTTCTCTTATTAGTGAAGAAACCTTCAACGTCAAACAACCTTGACAACATACTTCTATTTTTTATTACTAAAAGGGTTACACATTCTTTATGGTACGCACTTTATTAAGAATATACAACCTACTTCTATTTTATTTTATGGTACCTAACTTTTAAATGATTAGGTAGGGAAGAAAAGAAATTGCTCTCTAGAGCAAAAGGTTTTCCTGTGTTCTTTTTATTTTTATTTTTATAAATAAAAGTTGATATACAATGACAAAGCTCTTTGCCATTTAATTGGTTGCAATATGATTTGGGGTGAATTATGTACAGTTTATCTGCACTGCACATGCCATTCAGCACACACCACATCACTTTATACATAATCAATTGGTCAACTCTTGTTTAAAGAAATAGCAATAAAAAACATTCGAAAGAATCTTTTGATTCTATAATTCCTAATAAAAACAAATGAAAAGATAAGAAAAGAAAAGAAATGCTCCTCCAAATTGCTTCCTAAATACTTATCATTGTAGCAGTCAAATCACAAGTTCCTTTTTAATTTGTTTTTATTATTTTGAAACGAATCGTAGCGGCTCACTATTGTGTGGTGCATGCTCATTGGCTATACATAAACCCTTGAGGTCAGCATACCATCTTTATTGAATTTTATGTGTGGTGTAATTATGTTTTATTTCAAGTTCTGGTAGAACTTTCCTTTTTGCCCAACAATTAGTACACATTATTTTAATTCAGTTGGAAGGTTAGGTGGTGAAGTAACTGGAATTGTGACATGTAGGGACACTAGGTCATCAGCGGTGGATTTTCACATAATTTGGTTGAATAGTGAATTTTTAAAATGTAATTATGATATGTGGACTCAACTACGTGTGTTGTGCGTGTAGGTATGTGTTACGGGTGTTGGGTGTAGCTGTTTGTCTAAATGTCAGATTTATCTAATTTTCATGGGACACCTGTCGTTAGCACTCTCATTTATTTAGAGTAAAACAATGTTATACAAACTAACATATAGCTTTTGTGCATAAAATGAGAGTATTATTCATAATTTCATATGTGTTGGTTGTATGTTCAACTAGACATGTCAAACACATCCTCTATTCTAATCTGAGTGTCAAAATTGTGACATGATACTTCAGAAATTTAGAGGAGTTCAGGCCCCAAACTCACCATAATTAAATTCTTGGCAACTAATAGTAGTGAAGTGCTAAAATATAAGCATGAACATTTCTATTCTATTCATATATAATTATGGACTCCAATATATTGTGAACAATTTAAAAAAGGATTCTTTTGCACTAAATTTTGAGGATGCAAGCATAAACTCCAATTGGGTGCTGTGAATTATGAGGTTCAGTGCAAACTGCAAAGATATATTCTCCCGAACTTTTGAATTCTATAGAAAACATAACTTGGTATGTTACAGTTTGGTAGATATGAAAGCCCAGAAGAAAATCCTTTTTTCCCGGACAGTTTACCGCCTTTGGTGGTGCCGCCTCACAATTATCCACAAGTAAGCATTTACCCAAATCTAGCCATCCCTTTTCCATATATTTACAATTTCATAAACAAAACCCATTTTCTTTCGCTACTGATTCTGGTTATAGATTTTGCATCCTTCAGGGGCTTCCATTAACATAAATAAGACCATATGGGATATATACTTCAAACAACTGCTTCCGTTGTTTGTTCCCAAGGGCGATGATGGAAACTATGTACCAACTGCAGCTTGTGATCTCCAGTGTTTGCAGGTAAAATTACTTGTAAACTCTAATGTGTCCTCTTATGTGAAATTAGTTTGTAAACCGCTCATATCCTTTTACTTTTCGGATATTTCACTTCTGCAGCATAGTGACGAGCACAATCTTGGCTTTTTAGGCTAGTTACCCTCTTAGGGGCTGTGCAGCTTATATGAGTTGCTTATAGTCTTTTTATTTAATTTGGGAGCCTGCTAGACTGTTTGGTATAGCTTGTGGTTACAACTTATGAAGCATAAACAATTTAAACTTTAAAAAGATGATTATCTGGAAGCTTGGTGAGTGGTGTTTTTAGCTTCTTTTTGTAATTATCATCTTTTAACTTCCAAGAAGCTGCACCAAGCAGGCCCTTAGTGGAAAGAAAAATAAAGGTTCTTTGCATGTTTGTTATATGTCATAAATCAGATGGCAATCTCATAAAGATTATGGGGTGCTAGGTCAGTGGCACAAATGGTATGATTCTGACTACGAAAATTAAATGGTTTCTTGTAGGCCCTTTCTAGAAGAATTCATTACGGAAAATTTGTAGCTGAGGTTAAATTCATTGATGCCCCAGAAGATTATGGACAGGCAATTCGTGCTCAGGTATTGCTAGTATTTAATTTGAAGTAGTTATCCCATCAAAGATCACTACAAAGACAGGAAAACAAAAACAAATATACGCTAATCTCTTATAGTATGCTTATGACTAATTAATTTGCAGTAGGTTATCTCATCATAGAAAAATAGAAAAAAGTAAAATAAGTATAAGCTAATCTCTTATAGTTTAGTAGCTTCTCCAGTCACATTTCACCCACGGTGGTAAGGAAGAAGACTGCTACGTTTATCTGAAAGTTGGATGTTGTAGTCAGTCAGTTTTATTGAAATAGGGAACCACTCTTTCAACAAGAGAAAATGATGTAAATTGTAATATGTGAACTGAAGAACTGAAAAGCTCAACGTAAGCCAAGATTATTGTGCAGCATTTGTAATACACCCAAAGATTACACTGTCTATAATATGACACATACACAATTGAACCCATTTGATAATGGTAGGAAATAAAATTGACTATTATTTGGTGTTTTTTCCCCCCTTCTAAATTTCAATTGAAGATAAATATGGCAATAAGCCTTGCTGTCCTTCTCAGGCAAACCTTATAAGCAATGGAAGAATATTCCAACTCATGTTTTTTCCTTGACTTTATTAACATATTTGAAAGAATAATTCTAATAAAAGATATTCTAATTGCTTTCTACCTGGATGATAATAAGATAATGGCTTTTATGAAATCAACAAGGGTAAAATACACTTAACTCTCTTGAGGTTTGGAGAAAATACAAGCAACCCCATAATTTTGGCATAATTACGTTGGGCTTCAGGTTTACTTCCATTCTCATCAATAATTTGTGAATCATAGAGATAAAATAATGTTGGCATCTCTTTTATATTAAAATGTATAATTTTTATTGTTTATCTTAGTCTTCACACCATCGGCATTATTTCTGGTCTCTTTAGCCTTATTAAAATAGAGGTCGGTGTAATTATGCCAAAATTGTGGGGCTTGTATTTTCTTCATCAGGGTAGGTCAGTGTGTTTTACTCAATCAATAATGCACCCATCTTCTTACTAATTTGCAGTTTATGATTCAAATAACTCTAAAACCATGTGAAGCTTCCACCTTTATCAAAATTTTCTCAAAACAAGTAGATCTTCCTTCTTTCTTGGTAGTGAATAACATATTTGTAAGGTCTTTCATTAGTTTTTGTTGCTTCTTGCAGGATAGAGATACTCTAATGAAACTATTGACGTTTGTGAGTGTTGAAGAAATGGTAAAGAGGAGGGTCGCAAAGAAAGCCATGATATTTGGGCAAGAAGTGAGCCTCAATGATGATGACAAGAAGGGAAAATGTAAGGTTGATCCATCAGTTGTTTCCTGCCTCTATGACAAATGGGTGATGCCCCTCACCAAGCTTGTTGAAGTTGAGTACCTTCTCTGCCGTCTTGATTGATCGAAACCTTATGAGCATTTCTGTGCTTACAATTAATTAAGCTTCTTCGATTCTAGCGGACTTTCTCGCAATGTAAACCCATAATAAATCTTGCAATATTTTGATTAATAAAAGGTATGCTTTCTTAAAAGGTGGCATTGTCTGTTGTTATTTGTGCATAGAGCTAGAGCTGGTTACATCTTATATATTTTTGCTTTCCATTCACAGATGTATGTCGCATATTGATTTTAATTTTCAATGTGTCGTGGTACATCCAACGGTGTTAAAAGAATCAGAATCAGAACCAATTTGTTTTATTTAGGGTTGGTTTGGGATGTCCTAAAAAAGTGTACTTTTTGACTTATTGGTGGGTTTGGGTTGAGTTTGGGTTGGGTTTGATGTGATGTGTTAGAGAGGTGATGTGATTTAAATAAGATGATGTGACTTAAATAAGATAGTGACTTTTTGACTTTTTAACTTATTTAGTACATGCCAAACTAACCCTTAGACTTGAATGCATCAGAATCTGATCCCACAATGGCATGCCATCCAAGAATGTGATTACTAATATCCGAAAGAATGTGATTACTGATATCTGATCATTCTAACCGAAAGAGAAAAAATGTTTACTATACATAACTGAAAAACTAGAAGAAATTTATATATATATATATATATTATATATGGATTGAGATAATGGTACAATTGACAGCAACAGATACAAGAAAAACAAAAGCCACCCAGGAAACTACTACGATTCTGTTGCAACAGAACCCTCCAACTACCGTAAAATCCCTAGCAACTTTTTTAATACTTTCAGCAGTAAAAATCGATTTGGGCAGTTTAAATGGACCCGAAAATACCAATCTATGAGATCGAATGCCTCCTGCACCTTGATGATGAACCAGAGGACTTGGTCGTCTCTCCCTGAATCATTGTAGTCAGGCTTTGAGAACTACCCGATGTCTCAGAGCTCCTATTCTCCCCGTGCCCATGCCCTTTGCCGACTACCCATAACTTATCGAAGATTCTCCTTGACCTAGACGGGAGCAACTTCACACCACTTCCTCGGCTTTTGCTACCCTTCTTAATCAACTTCCCATTTTTGGGGGCCCCGCCATCTGTTATCTTCATTTGACTCATCTGCTTCCCAAGGGAATCCGAATTGCCTTCTTCCGGAACCATCTTCTCCCATTCTTCTTCAGTTTTAGTCACCGAATGTAAATTCTCCCGAGGAGCTTGAACTGCTGAAGCTGCTGCTCTAACTTGCTCGAAGAATAGAACTTGTACCACAACTCGGAGTGGGAGGAACTCATTCTGTGCTGCATGCATTGATACATCCATCGTCAATTTCTTCACATCCATCAGCCCACAAATCTTCTTCCTTTCCGCTTTTGTCAAGTTCGGGTGTTCCTGATGAACATATAACAATAATAATAACTGATCAGTGACTGTATGATCGAGTCATAGTCAAAGCGATCAGACTTGTGCATCTATTTTACATCAACTTTTCAACGGATTACACATGTAGATGAACTCAAACAAAGGTTGTTTTACTTAATAAAAGTTCTAGTTCCTCTTCTTGTGAACAGAACTTAAGTTCCACCACTTAAGTTACCACATGGATAGCGCATATTAGTAGCAAGAACCTTCTAAAAAAAACAAACTTACTTGGGTCTAAATAAAAAGTATGCATGCTTTATATCAAATATATAGTATGCATTATGAACAATATTGGAATCAAATCAGACATAAAGCACCTTAAAATATAAAAAGTACCAATTAAAAAGCACACCTACCTTGAGATAGATGTCTATAGCCCAGTATAATCCATCATGAATTGGTCTGGCTAATTCAGGAATTGACTGTGACAATAAAATGAAACTGGACACAGTAAGATTTGGATCACGAGCAATTTCTGCAAGATACCCGTCAATCAGTTTACCAACATTCAACAAGGACCCATGCCCTAAAACAAAATCACCAGTGATTTTCTCATTCTTCTCAGCAATATCCAAATCCCAGCAACGTTTCCCATGTATCATAAATCGATTTACAAGAGACAGAACAAGTTCAACATCGTATTTTGTAGTTTGGGGAGGCCTCGCAGGGATCAATAGATCATTAACACAAGCCCCATCCAACTTCAGACTGATCTTCTTTATCAAATCTTCCCTCCGCGTATCATCTACTCCAACCAGAATGGAAAATTTCAATAATTTGAGCAAGAAACTACAAGAACAACACACGCCAGTGTCAGAAGGCAATAAACAAATTATCGTTTCAACCAAAGATTTGTTCCTCCTACTATGAGCTTCAGAAGCCAAAGCATCGACAGAATCTGGCAACCACCTCATTACGTAAGTCTTTAGTGCCTCCCCAATCACATTCCCATCCATTCTTCCCTTTGACCTCACAGCAACCATAACGCGCTTATAGAGGTCAATATCCAATTCACATATATCTTCAACCCACCAATCCTTTGGAACAGATTCAACTTTTTCTTGGAATTTCATCCCATTCTCAACTATTCTATCGAGCACCAATAACTTCCGGTTATAAGTATAAGACCAGTTGATATTTGATGGGTCTACAGAAGTTTTAGATGCAATGGAATCTATACACCTACCAACTACCTTCAGATCTTCAGACCATGGAAGAAAAGATTCAGTAGTTTGCAGAACAATGATGGAATCTTTCCAGCTACGGAAAAGACTAGAATTGAGAAAAACTTCGATTTTGAAAACCAGGTTTCCTCGGTCAACAACCTCAGTCATCTCAAGGTACTCCGCTGCACAACGGGCAGCCACAACGTTGTATGCATTGAGAGTGACAGTCATTCCGTAACAGAATTTTGCACAAATTTCAAAGGCTTTAGGACCACCAGGAAAGTCAGCCAAATGAATTTCATCAGAATTTTCCTCGTTGGCTTTCAGTACAAGCTTTTGTAAGCAATTGCTCTTTGATAAGAGAGGGAACTGCAAGCATAAGATTAGAACATCATTCTATCATCATTCTATCAACCAAACTAGAACAACCAACAATGAAATAACCAACAATAAAATAACCAGTTGGTCGAGCTTTACAATTAAGTAGAAATTTGTTTCTTTTAATTGTTTAGTATAGCAATTACAACAGCATCCCTAGTTGTGCAAAGAACAACAGGAAAAGTTGTGCATCTTAACCCCATAATCTCATTACCAACAATTTACTAGGTGTACTTTCACTGGTATATTTCATTGAATATGGTAAAAAAATTTAAAAAAAATAAAAATAGCAGCATGCATTCATAATCCTAGAAAATTTGTGAAAGCTAATATCAATAACAAGGAGAAGGATTACTGCATTTGCAAGGGAGTAGCAGAAAAAAAACAAACAAACAAATGGGCAAAATATGATCCATGTGATTAATCATTCTCAATAAGTGGGAAAACACATCTCATGGTTGTTTCCGGGGTTCGAAATACAAGCAGCATACTTAAGACAGTGCTCTCACAGACAAAACTCCATTTCAGTGGCAGATTTGGCCCCAACAATGATAGATCAATTTCATTGCCTGACCATGAAACTAGATGCTATGCAATTTTTCACAAGAATATAGTCCAAATTAAATTCTGTACATTATTCTTTCATGGTTTCTTTCTTTTATTTATTTATTTTTTATTTTTTGGGAGCAAAGCATAACATCAATTTGAACACTAACTGTATAATAATTACATATGTCATCATAGTGTTTTCTGAAGATCTAATTGTACATTTCAAAGTACCCATTCTCTTTGGATTCAAGCAAGGACTCAAACAACTGAATGAGCCACATCTTAACCAAAGTTTTTCAAATCGAGCTCGAACTGACTTTAGCTTGGACTGAGATTTGAGCCAAGCACAAACAATATCCAACCAAACCCATGTACTTGAAGCTTGAACAGCCCGATTACCTCATTCAGTCACACAAAGTACTCTGATCTTCAATATGTTTACTGGCTCGTCAAATATTTTAAATTGCATCCAAACATTTCTAAATTTAAAAGCCAAGTTGTGGATCTAAAATGACATAAATCCACAGTTCCACACAGTCTCTGAAGAAAATGGAGATCTACTCACTGTGAAATTTTTTCCATGAGTTTGGATAATTTCATAATTGAATATAGCATAACATACAAACAAAAAACAGAGATCATAAAGCTTAATTCACCACCGAAAAAATAAATAAAATTTGAAACAATGACATACCTTGTGAAGGTAAAACTTCACTTCACCAACATTTATGATAACATCTGTTGCCAGTTCAGATGACACATACCTGCATGAATACATAAATTATTCTAAAGCTAAGACTAATGGGGATCGCTGAAAATTTAACTTGTGCTTACTATAACAAATGTAAAAAATAAAAAATAAAAAATAGAAGACATATACACAGCTATACTGTATTGTGTAATATGTATTAGTATATCAAATTGGGAAGAAAATGTATATAATTATTAGTATATCACACATTGGGAAGAAAATGTATATAATTAAAGATGACGTGGTCATTCTGCTGCAGCTCATTAAGACACTAAAATTGTTCCATATACAAAGAACTAAAACAAAAGTTAACTATGCATCCAGTGAAGAGACATGAAAGTTTGGCAAGTTAATTTTGTGACTGAACTTAGTCGTCCAAACATACATCTCTCTCAGAATGGGGTCAGACTCAAGTAAAACTAAACTAAACCCAGAAAATAATAGATTGAATTTGATTGCAAAAAAAAATAAAAATAAAAATAAAAAAATTTGAGAATAATGGAGCACCTAAGTTGTGCCAACCATCAAGCTTTGTGAAGCACATGTTAAATTGTTAACCACCAACTCATCTAGAAGCTTAAGTTGTTAAGCTACCAGTCAAATGAGTCTATCAATTGGTATTTAATACAGTGCTACATAAATGTTTTTGAAAATGTAGCCAACAGCCACATTTGATAAATAAAGACATGAAAATGTAATAAATTTTTCTTTCACAAAAGCTTTGAGAAAGAATAATGGATGTAGTATTTTGCAAGACAATGTCATACACATGCAAAAAACACAGAGGAAAAATTGGCCAATTAAACAAGAAGATTGGCTTCCAGTGTCCCAGGATGCAGTGTGATCTTCAGATATATCTAGACAAAACACCACACGGAAACTAAGTCCACAATACATTACAGGAAACAAGTCGATTAAATATTGGGACAATTACAAAAAAAAAAAAAAAAAAAACCAGACTTTGAGCCTTGTAACAAAATAAACTTTTGAGTTGTTAATTTTGTCAATTTAAACCCTAAACTTTTGATTTGTTTCCAATCTAAACCATTTGCCTATTTTCATTAAAGTATAATTGATGAAAAAATGAATATTTTAATCATCAAACTCAATGAAAAGTGTATTTTATACATTTTATGTATACTTACATTGAGTTTAATAACTAAAATACTCTTTTTGTCGGTTTTACTTAACGAAAATAGGCGAATGATTTAAATTGATAACAAACCAAAAGATGAAGGCTTAAATTGACAAAATTGAAAACTCAGGATTTATTTTGTTACAAGGCTCAAACCCTGGGGCTTTTTTAATTGTCCCTTAAATATTTATTCAGTCTTCAAAATGTGGTGTTAAAAGAAAAGATGCTATTTTAAAAACATGAATGCCAACATCAAAGCCTCTTGCATCCAAAATATTTACCTTTTGCAAACTGTTTGATTTGTTGTATGATAAATCCAAAGCCACATGCATGATATATCCAATTTGACATTGATATGAGGCACAAGTTCATAGTGGTAAGTGGGGTGAATTCTGCCTCATATTGGGACAAAAAAATGTTTTTGCAACAATTAGAAAACTTGCATGTGATACATGGCACAAATAAACATGTAGACCATCAATCACCAAAGTCAGCACTTTTAGGGCCAACATATATGGCCTCAAACCACCATCCTAAAGTAGCCTCACATGACCTCTATAGATTATATTGTCGATGAAGGGTAAAGATTGAGTGAAATTAATGAGACCAAATTTAAAAAGATTTATTGAACATAGTTACACAGCACAATCTGGTCACCATTTGTCATCTAGCAACTTTCTTTGTTTTAAAAAAAAAAGCGCATTAGCCATACAGATATCATGAGGATTCTGCACCAAAGCAATGCAACTGAGAACAAAATTTTATGACATTAAATTACTATAGCACAAAATTTTGGTAGCTAAGCTCCCTAGCCCAAAGAACTAGTGATTGCATTGGCATTTTATCTAAACCTGTCAGCAAATGAACAAAATATCAAGTGGATTGAATTGAGTCACCGTGCATTGACACAAAAAGAGCATTTGCTTAGAAACATGGGAAGTCATCAATATACACATTCAAAAATCACAATTTGGATTAAATCTACAAGGTGCTTATCAATGCCACTCGCTGACAAATAAACATGCTCAACTCTATATGTGGAACAGCATTTAGCACAATAATTTTTAGTTGCACAGAAAGTGAGACTTTCAAGTTAGCTAAAAGCTTGGTCAAGGTTTAATTTTGAATGGCCAAGTTTTGATACAGTTCTCATTCCCCCACAAAAGGCAAAATGTGGTTGAAATCCATTAATGGTGCAAGTTAAAAGACATAAGCCAAAATTAATGCAAAAGTAAATTGCTAGATGACGCAAAATGGCCCGTTTAGTAGAACTTATTGGCAGCCTTTTTTAGCTTAGTTTTGAAAATGTTCGCTTTTTAAGCGCTGTACTTTGGCATTATTTGATGTTTGATAAAACTTTTTAGGTTTTCAACTTATTTACATTTCCAACTCAAAAATCTGCAAATAACCTCAAAAAGCTCTTTTTTCTCTTTTTTTTAATGCTAGATCTAGAATGTTTTAACTTTAAATTCTGCCAAACAGGGCTGGATGAGTAGCATACCCTTTAGCAATGCTAGCAAGCAACCACCAAAAGGAAGGTCAAAAAACCACATCCTTTTTGGACTTGAAACGATCTAAATTTCATAGTATCTTCTTCTGGCCTACTTCATCTATGATCTATTTGAGCTCTCTATCATTGCAAAGCCATTCAAAATGACACAAATGCACCTTCAAAACCACACCAATGAACCTACCAAAACAGGGTAACCTACAATGACAACTATTCTCTTCTCAATACACAAACTAACCACCAATCTAATTATGCTTCTGCTTGGTACTCAAATATGCAGCTAAACATATGTAAGAGGCGATGATACAAAACAGATGGGACCACTTGAGAGATGTTGGGGGTAGTGTGGATCTTAACAAATACTGATAAATGCAGTGCTAAGTGCCACATCTCTTTGTACTGTAATTGTAACCCTTTTGAGATCATAGCAAAACCACGACTGTGAACATTCTAGGGTGAACCATGTACTTGATTTCATTTCTTATTTTATTCTTGTTTGTGTTTCGTGTCTCATTGATCCTGGTTAGGCATATCAAGAGAATGAATGTTTGTGCTTATTGTGATCCAACTAGCCCTATCTTGGCCATAGCAGAGGACAATGGTAGGTGGTAGAATGAATGTTTATCTATTGCAGGAAGAATTATATATGCTGTAATAATTAAAGGCCTTGACCATCCAGCCCATCTTATCTTATATGACATTACTACAATTGGACCACGAAATTATCAAAATCAGTACAGTTCAATACCTGGACCACCGCATGTGTGCCCCGTACAAATTACAACCCAACGCAAACAACCCAAGAAAAAGACATAACTACCTATATGAGAGGAGGATAATAATATAATCATTAAAAAAAAATAAACCCACATAATTAAGCACAGCTAACAACATTTAAGCACTTCAAGTTTAATTATATACTGTATTTATCTTTCTATACATTTAAGCACTTCAACAAGAAGAAGGAGGAGGAGGAGGAGGAGGTTGAGATGACATGCATTAAAAATAAGTTTAAAAAAACATTGATGTATATAATTCGCACACAGAACACATTTATTAAGACCAAGAATCAAAAGAATCTTAAATTCATCACACTAAATATACATGAGCATACAATACATAAGATATGTATATAAAATGTGTCTGCACATAAAAATACAAGAGAGAGAGCATAAAAACAGAGACAATCAAAGCAAGCAAAGCAGAGTTATATATAGTACAGAGGCAAATTTTGTTTGTTTGTTTGTATTAAACAGAACAAGAACAATATAATGAGAACCCACTGCACTGATAGAATCAAGAAACCAAAGCAGAATGGTAAATTTCATTTGTTTGTTTGTTTGTTTGTATGGAAAAATAACAAATACAAAGGAAGGAAAACCCACTTACCTGACAGAGTTTCCATCAGCATGGAACGCATCAGGCTTTGATCCCAACTTCATAAACTTCATTTTCTTCCCAAAATACAAACAACCCACAAAAATGCCACTGAAAAATCACCCAAAAAACCACTCTACATAACCAACCACCTTCAAAACCCAACCCCAACAATACTGCCCACAACTTTCTCTTCTCTCCAAAATTCTAATTCCTTACAACAGTGACAAGAAACGCAGCTTTCTGAGTCTCTTTCTCTCTCTACACCCAGAACACGTTTTTCATTTTTGACTCCAATACAAGCACAAAGAAACAACCACATCCTCCTGTGCCGCGAATCTCGAGACAAATTCAATTCCAATATTAATAAGGCTTTTAAAGGCTTTTCCTTTCCTTCATGATGACATTGATGATGCTTACAGACATACACACCAACCAACCCCTCTCTACCAAAAAAATTCAAAGATAAAAAACACACGCACACACACAAAAACAAAACCCAGTTTTAATTCTCGCCGCCTTTGCTTTTAAATCACCCTGATCCGCAAAGATCTCTTCAGAGGTGCAAATCTCAAGATCTCTCTCTCTCTCTATTCTATTTATTGCTTTCTCTGTGTATATTATTGTATTCTGGTGATGAATGATGATCTTGCCACTCCCCCTCCCTGGCTAGCTAGGCTGGTGTAGTTGTGTGTTTGTGTGTCTGTCTCTCTCCCTGTCCCTGTATTTGGAGCAGAAGAAGAAGAGAGAGAACGTAGAGAGGAGATTGTGTGTATACTACTTCTGCCTCATGAGAGTGTGAGAGAGAGTAGGAGACTGTGTGTGTATACAGAAAGGAGGATCAGAGACCTTTTCGAGGCTTATTTTTATGCCGTTGAAGCACGCCACCCTTTTAAGGACCACTTTGCCCCTCTTCATTCTTTTGATTTTCCATGTTACCCTTTTGTTTTTTTTGGGGTGAGGAGGGAGGAGGGAGAAAGCTACCATCAGCTGAATTATTATAAAATAATAATAAAAAAATTATGAATTTAATTATTAATGTATATAAATTTTATTTTTTAGCTTAATTTTTTTTAAAGATTTTCATTGAATTGAAATTCTCTCTTTTTTTCTTTTTTTTTGATATGTAATGTTTCGCGAATCAATTTGCATGCACAAGACTAAGAGGCAGTTTGTTATAACCTAAAAAATTAAAAAATCACTATCTTATTTAAGTCATATTGTTTTAAGTCACATCACTTTTCTATCACATCACTTCAAACACAACTCATACTCAATCCATATTTCATAAAAAATCAAAAAATGTACTTATTTAGATCACCTCAAACAATCCCTAAATCTCTCCAATCTGAATATGTGACACACCAAAACAAACAAAAGTCCCGGGGAAATTTTTTTTTTATAAAAAAATTATTAATTATTTTAATTATTTATTTACCTAATTAATTTCTTTACTACTTTATCTTGTTTCTGCCTGCGCTACTTAATTTGTTAAAATTAAAATTAATTAGCTAGTTACGAATTCAGCCCTAAGCACCCGGGATTGGATCGTGACAAAACAAACCTTCTGAAATAAGGTATATATACTACGATTTGTGACTCTACGAATTTTTGCTGACGATGAGAGTTGTAACGGAGATACTAGAGTGAGCCAATTCCAAAATCCTAAGTCTAATGAGTAAAAATTCAATGTAACAGTGAGATATCACCAACACAACAAAACCACATGATGTGATAAGTAAATCCTAATTTTTAAATGTTACATATATGCGGGGTAAATTATACTTTGTCTTCATTATGTTTAGTCATTTTCTCATTTTGGTTCTTAAAATTTATTTTTTCTCACTTTGACCATTCATATACAAGTTTTTATCATTTTACTCTTAAGATTAACTTTTGTTCAAAATTGATACAAAATGTCACGATAACTGTCACATACTGTAATAACCGTTGGAGAATTTTCAAAACAAGTTTTCAAATTTATAGTTTATTTTTTTGGGTGTTTTCAAAACCTTCCATGTTTTTCTTTGGAAAGCATGAAATAAGCTTGGGGTTTTGTCCTGTATCGGAAAGAAAGGAAAACATGGTGCACTTAATAAAGTGCTACATGAAATATTCCTTTGAATATGGTATTATGGGATGAATGCTAGTGTATATTAACTCACATTGCAAGGATGGTGCTTTGCACCATCTGCGTGCGCGCGTGGTATGGGCAGTGGGCTGTGTGGCACTTGATGACGCACTTTGCACTTAGCAAGGCGTCATGAGGGCACTTTCCTATTTGCATCGGACATGTTGGAGGGATGACATGGAACCGACGTGGCATGGTTGACGTGGAATATAGTCAGCTTCACGTGGCGTCCGTTGGCGATGAGTCAACCAAACGATTGAACAGTTGTATGTTTGATTTGGAGCGATCTGATCATAGCCGTTGATTGGAGATGCGCGTGATCATACGGATGAGATGGCACTCGATCGTGATCAAGTGTGATTATTCAAGGCATTTATTCGGTATGCGAATGATCTGTACCGTAGATCGTTAATCCAACAGTCAAATCTGATTGGATGCGATCAAGGGACATGACCATTCGATCAGATGCATCAAGGCCTATAAATAGGCTACGAAATCAGCCATTTCATTCCATCCACAAAATTAAGAAGCATTTCTGCAATTATCTCTCTCTCTCTCTCCCTCTTGATTTTAAGTGTTCGATCAACAGTTTCTTTAAGTAATTTATGTTTTTCTTACTGGTAATCAAGTTCTGCAGTGATTATCAGTGTCTTGGTTTTCTTGATTATATCAAGAGTATTCTGATCTATTGTCGTCAGTGCAGACACCGATAGACTTGATCTTTAGATCACGTTTCATCGTATCCTGGAGGCAAATTTGCTGTAACCCCCTACACACCTTTTTGTGGGTGCAAATATTGTCTTTAGGAAAGCGACTTGAAGTATCAAATTTCTATTCTATATAGACAAGTTCATTGCTAAGTTTTGAAGACCCAAAGATGACCAAATGAAGAATTCAAGACGAATTGTTCCAATAATCTAAAGACAATATCTAGATATAGCAATGTCTATTCAGAAAATGACTCAAGATTTCATGAAGCCTAACCGTTTTGATGGAGGAAATTTCCAACACTGGCCAAAAAAGATGCACTTTTTGCTCACCACTCTCAAAGTGGTCTATGTGCTAACTACCCCCTATCCGGTGGAGCAAGAAGACGAGACTATGGATCAAACCCGTATCAGAACCAATATATATATGAACAAATTAATAAATAAAATATAGATGGTTATTTGGCCACTCAATCCAACAGCTTCTGCCTCTGTCTCTGCCTCACCTTCCGCTTCTTCTTCCGCCGTGGTCTCACTCGATCTCCCCTAGGGTTTCGTCATCGACGGCCGCGAACTAGAACGGAGATCGGTGATCGAACAAGACCTCCACAGCCGACGTCATTGTTAGATCGTCTCCGTTGTCAGATCGTCTATGTGTCACCGCTAGAAGCCTCCAAAAGCTAGGGTTTATCTCTCTCTCTCTCTCTCCTTCTTGATTTTAAGTGTTCGATCAACAGTTTCTTTAAGTAATTTCTGTTTTTCTTACTGGTAATCAAGTTCTGCAGTGATTATCAATGTCTTGGTTTTCTTGATTATATCAAGAGTATTCTGATCTATTGTTGTCAGTGCAGACACCGATAGACTTGATCTTTAGATCAAGCTTCATCGTATCCTGGAGGCAAATTTGCTGTAACCCCCTGTACACCTTTTTGTGGGTGCAAATATTGTCTTTAGGAAAGCGACTTGAAGTATTAAATTTATGTTCTATATAGACAAGTTCATTGCTAAGTTTTGAAGACCCTGTAGACGCGCTCCGAACGTCCCGGGAGGGAGATCCCCCCCATTTTGTTCATTGGGCTCACTACAGTTCATGACTCAAAGTCACGGTCCTGTATCTAATCTCGCAGAGTGCAATGCAAGACCGATGAATCGTCAAAGAGTCCAAATCCGGCAAATCGTTTTTGAAAACAGACTTTTTTGAAAGAAGTGCCAAACATGGACTGCTTTGCCAGATATAGAGTCGCCACCTAAATATTTTATTTTGGGAAATTTAGGAAACCCTGACTCATTGCCTAAGGCCACGTGTCCGTCATCACCAAAGTTGCCTCGGCTCGGGAACTTGGGTACGATTGGGGAAGGTCACTTCGTGAGCACCCCCGCTCGCCCGATCAAAAATCGGCCTCTACTAACCATGATATCTAGTTTTGAAAACATTATGCGTTCTTAATCCGGTTATTAGCCTAGATTACTATGTGATGTGCACAACATACAAGTATAGACTGGGTCGCCTGAATTGGAACAAAGCATCTCATGTTTGTTTTGAAAAATGGTTTGATGGTGCTACCCGCAAGTAGGCTAAGACGTGGATTTGCCACCCTCGGATTGGCTTAGAAAACATGATTTTGCCACTGTCTAGTGGGCTTAAAACTCACAATTAATGAATTGTTCCAATTCAAATAACCCAACCTTCACCCACAGGCATTCAGGCAGTTATATCATATAAGCGCATAGCCTCATGGTCAGCATGCTATCATGGCAGTTACTCACACACATGCAAGGATGCTAAAGCATAAACACTTACCGAGTACTCCAAGCCAAAACAAAAGCTATGTTAGAAATCCATGCATGATCTTAACTATACAGAAATGCCTAATGCAACAGATGCAAAATGCAACTAATATAGGCTCGGCTATTCTAAAGATGGCATGTGAAATGCTACAACTAACAAGTATTCAACTCGGAATCGAAATACAAATGCAGTTAGCATGATGCGCTGAGCCCGGTGCATGCTAGACAGATGAATGAATGCAAACATGCTATCATACTATATGCTAATTGAAACATGCCCTAATCTAACCATCATAAGCTGGTAAATAAAAGGGAGAAAGACGTGGGGTTGGAAGACATACATCACACGCACGCACATTTATTACAATTGCGCCCTCGCTTAGAGGGTCCGAATAAATAATATACAGTCCAAACAAATAGTACAGTCCGAATAAATACAAAATCCTAATTAATTAACAAATTAATCTAGGAAAGCAGGTAAATTAGCACCCAAATTCATGGACTGCCTCAGCTCTGTTCCAAATGATGAATGATACATGCTTGAGTTGCTTGGCGCGGAAATCCATTGCGATGCCCCGATTCGCCTCTGTTTACAATTAATCTCGGAATGCTGTGTAAGGCTCTGGAAGGCTGTTGATTTCTAATTTGCTGCAACAGAAAGCAAGAAAGGGGCATGGCAAAGTATTTTCACATATGTATGCATGACTACTCTTTAGGGAGTGTAGTCCTCGATCATCGTGCCACCAATCACGCATCTTGATGCATGATGGCCGAGGAATCGAATTGCACGACTCGATGTGAAATGAATGCACATATAAACACAACAAGACCTAAACTCCATCATGGGTAATCCGGAGTGTCGGTGACCGGGAATTGAGACACGTTCCGTCACTCGGAGTACGAAACGTCCCTCGTTTCCCGTGCTTGGGCTAACTCCTATCCCAAACACAATACAAATGAGATGGCATACATAATGCGACTAACATACAACCTAGAATATGCAATGCTATGAAATGGTATACACAATGCTCGATGTAACATGGCATACACAATGCTCTAACATGCAACCTAACGTACGCAATGCTATGGACTAAAATGGCATACACAATGCACGATGGACTTACACCAACATGAGTGGACCTCAGCCACACTCACATCAGTGGCCATTAGATGGAAAAGAGACAATCGAAATGCGTGCACACGTGCACGC